ACCACGTCGTCGTTTAGCTTTTTTGATAAAAAAACTCGGTCCTTCCCGTAATATTACCGTCACCATGTGCTCTTTTAGCGAGTCTACTTTCGTTCTGTCGATTCTCTCATTGACCTTGAACGTGGCCTCTCTCCCTTTCACCGTCATTTCCCCTGGATCGGTTGCAGCTGTCATAATCCTTTCGTCGTAACATAGCCTTGCCAATTCTCTTATTTTGTCTTTTTCCTCCTCTTGGAGCGGTCCTGGCACATGGGGTGGGGATCGTCCCCCTTCCGCCATAGGCACCTCCATTTCATTGACCCTCTAGGATCTCCTCGTTCCCTCTTTACTTCGGTGTTGCCGATGACGTCAATCCTAGGGCCTCGCCACACCTATCCCGAAAACACCGATTTGGAGAGCAAATGCATCACCACACCAACTCTCCAAAATCGGTGTCAGAAAAATTTTCGAGAGTGATCAGAACTCGGTTTTCAGGAGTGCTCGCGGACTGTGGTCGTTGCCCCGCCTGCAAAGTTGCCACTTTCGAGAGTGGTCCGCGACACCTCCGATTGTGGCCTGAATTTCGAGACTGTGCCGTGATGGACAACCATCTGCGGCCAGCATTTTGTCGAGTTGGTTCGAGAGACTCTCGAACCGAGGCCTCTATCCACTACTCACCACATGCACAAAAGATAAAAAATATGGCGGTGTATCTTTCCATGGTCTAGGAGAAAATTCATTCTCATTTTGCACATTCTGTGAGTAGTGGAGCAAGGCCCTTGCACCACCACACTGCACTCTCGAGAAACGCAGGTCTTTTCCGACACAGCGGAGAGCGCCCCCTTCGAGAGCGCAGTGCGGCGATGAGGTCTCTCGAACCGGTTTTCGCGATTTCTAAAGTTCAAGAGCGCTCTCGAACATTTTCCCGTTTTCGGGATAGGTGTGGCGAGGCCCCTAGTCTTCGTGTCCTCTACCCCCACCTAGTCCTTCCACTTCTTCGATTTCCTCTTCACCTTCTACCTCTTGCGTCACATTTCTTCCTATCATCTTTCTTATGTTGAGGTCCGATTGCAGGTGTCCGAGACAGCGTCCTCCATAGCCATGGCTATGACCTCCGTCAAAGCGGATAGTGCCGAATGTCGCCCCTGTCGCGGTCCTATCACGCCGGTAGGTCCCACGGCCAGACTCGCTTTTCGTTACCGGTAGGCCGCGCTTAGTCCGACTTAGCGCAGGCAGAAGCGGGCTGGTCGGGCCTCCCAAAAAAACCAAAAGAGTTTTTCTTGAGACTCCACTGCGTGCCGGAAGTTTGGGCAAACTATTGAGTTTTTTTTTGTTTTTTTGTTTTTTTTTTTGACAAAAGGTCAAATTTTATTACCACAAACCGGGGCCGGGGACCCCACAATTCAACCCGGGGTTATCCTGGCAGCATCAGCTAGTTTAGCTTACGAGCGAAAACGCTCACCTTCATGGAGTAGGCTAATCTAGGCACAAAAATTGGCCAATACTGGGCCGCTGTCCTTAAACCATTCTAGCAAAACTTATGCACCAAGCCTGAAAAACCAACACAAACCAAAAAAGGACAAACATCCTACCCACCAAACTACTACGAGGCAGAGCTAACACCACCCTAGCTATCCTGTTATCTACCCAACTAAAGTCCTGCCTAATACGACAGGTGGACCCAAATGTCCAAAGAGCTCTACTGACACTCCCTCCACTGTCAAGCCGACTGCCCTTCTACTGCGAATTAAAGAACCGAGCACCCAGGTTCCAACCCCATCTCTACTCCTTCCAAAACCAAGTATCAAATACTAATTTCTCATCTTTAACTTGACGAGCTTCCCTCCAATGCCCCAAGTCTCGCCAAACCCCATCCCCCTGATGTTCTCTTACCTTTCCTTGCCCAATCCGCCTGAATAGTATGGCGTAGCAAAGATCTGAACAAGGACCTGATTTCCTTGTTGGTCATTTTCCTGTTGTCGAAAATCCGCCGGTTGCGTTGCTTCCAAATAACTTCACAACCTACCGCCCTGGCCGTCTGAGCGATATAACCCCAACCTTTCTGGAGATCCATATTGTCTGGGACTTCCCCCAGCAGTACCCATAACCTGTCCCATGGTATAACATTCCCTGAGATACTCTCTCATAACCTCTGTCACCAATACCGAATACATTTTGAGGCAGGGCAGTCATACCAAAAGTGGTTAATAGATTCATAGGCCATACTACATCTTTTACACGTTAACTCGACCTGCATACCTCGCTGGAACAAGGTAACCGCAGAAGGGGTAGCGACCAGAGAGAGAAGCCAGAGATTAGCCACAATACGCAGATTAGGAGCTTGCAGTAATTGAGACCAGCAACGATAAATAACTCTTTCTATCTGATTGGCATCACAGTCCAGGACTTGTCTCCAACGTGAGGTTGCAACTTGCAAGGGGGAACGAGTAGGACATTGGGCGTTATAGCCCTGAGCCACCGAATACTGTATCAAAGGTAAATCAACTCCCCCTTCACCTTCCCCTTTCCATCCCCACAGTTTTTGATCGATCTTCAAATCCATCAGAGTCTTACCCTGAGCAAATACCCTGCAGGACCATTCCCCCTCCTCATCACATACTTCACAGACTCTGATTTGAAATAGAGCCACATCCAACGGGGGGTGCGTCTCTTCTTCCTGGATAGTTAGTAGGCTGGGCTCGGCAGACCCTTACCACAGTTGAAACATTTTTTTCCCATTCAGCTCGATCTTTGTGAGTTTCCAAAAGGAGGGTGGATCCTCCAGGGGCAGAGTAATATACCAGGTCCCTGGCGGATCGATTCTCTCTGGACTCAAAATATAACGTCATTCAGGCGGAATAGCTTGGATAAGAGCAGACAGTCGTTCTTCCACAAACCAGACTGGGCCCAATTTGGCCCTGAGCTCTAGTGGTGAGATCCATTGGTTAGAAAGGCTGTCTCAGATATCATTTATTCTAAGCACCCCTCTTTCGATCCAGCATCTACCAAAACTCCCACCAGAAGCATCCGCTGAGAAGCTGGAACCATTCTCCTTTCGGATATGTGGATTATCAAAGAGTGGTTGGAGCAGGATCTCCATTTTCGAAACTGGTTGCGGCCAAGCAGTAGGTCTGAGTTTCTTCCAGGCAGAAATAATTGCCTTCCAAAATTCCGATTTAATATATCTATTTTGGTACGAGGTAAGCAATAAGCAGGTCCATACATCAGAGGGTCTGCACAAATTCCATTCTGAGGCTAAGATCTCTTCTGCCAAGGATATCCAGTGAGCTTCTTCGAAAGAACACATTGCTTTAATGATCCAACAGATCAGCATCGCAATACTTTTTCTTTGTGGATCGATCAAGCCAAGTCCCCCTTCTGATTTAGGGAAGCACAGTAGTTCTCAGACAACTTTTATCAAAAAACCTTCATTTACCTTAGCAAAAGGCTTCCAGATGAATCTGGATGCACATCTCCTTATCATAGTGCACAAGTTCTTTCCCGTCTTACCACAGCCACGAACCATAGCAGCGCAAACAAAGCGCAGTTAATGACCATAGCCCGTCCAAAAAACGAAAGATGATGTGCCTTGCCCCAAGTGGAAACTCTCTGCATGGTGCGCTGTAATAAAGTACAAGATAGCAAGGCAACCTATACCCCTAAAAACCTCTCTGAGTCTCCTTCCTTAACTCGTTTCATTCCCCAGTTCATCACCAGGGAGTGTGATGCGGGCCGAAAGAACACTGATTTCGACCAATCAACCGAGGCCTCAGACAACTCAGAGTACTCATCTAAACAGGTCTTCAAGGCACCCATAGAGGAATCTGTGTTTTCAGATATCGCAAACAGATCATCAGCCAAAGCTTTCACTTTGCACTAAGAGTTGCCTGCTTTGAGGCCTCTGATGGTCGTGTTTGCCCTTATATTACAGAGGAGGTTTTCAATTTGCAGAACAAAGAGAAGAGGGGCAAAGGGACATCCTTGTCTTAAAGACCTGGACAGGGCAAAAGGCTCTGAAAGGATACCGTTGACCATCACAGCCGCCGTTGACTTTGAATACAGAGCAATCACCCAGTTATAAAGGTTCTCCCCGAATCCCAGGTGTCTAAGCGTGGAAAGGACATACGTCCAATTCACGCGATCATAAACTTTCTCAAGATCAAGCATAAGAATCGTGATATCTGCGGATGTGTTCTCTACTACTTCCAGAGATTCAATGGCCGTAACTATATTATCAAATATAGATCGACCTTGCACAAAGGTTGCTTGGTCTTTGCCAACCAAACCAGGCAAATACCGACCAAGCCGCCTTGCCAAGACTTTGGCCAGAAGTTTATAGGAAACGTTCAGTACAGAGATAGAACGCCAATTTCTTATTTCTGACCGATCACCTTTTTTGTATAACAACGAGATGATCTCGTTCCTCATTCCTTTAGATAGGCCTTTTCCCAGCAAGACCTGATTGTAGATATCCACTAACTCTTCTTTAATCGAATCCCAAATAAGTAAGTAGAGTTCTACGGGGAGACCGTCATCCCCTGGTGCGTTCCCCTTAGCCATAGAGCATAAGGCGGTCCAAGCTTCTTCTACCGTAACCGGGTGGTCCATATCCAGCTTACCTTGAGTAGACAATCTAGCTGTAAATGAGGACCAATGCCTCGATCCGTCCGTGAGGTCCGTGGTAATATCCTCTTCTAGCCTTCTCGTCGTAAGAATATCTTGGTAGTACATTGCCACATACGTGCATAACTGGGATTGTTCACATGCCACTGGGAGCTCCCAATCAAAGGGATGCATCAACTGACTCATAGGATGGGACAGGCGTTTTGGAGACAACTTCTGAAAGGTTTCACGAGTCATTCTATCATACACCGCTATGCCTTTAACTTTCAAGCGCTCTGCTCATATCTCTGACTGTTCCTGTTGATATGAGTCCCACTCATCCATACATTTTTCCCTGATCGGACTCCAAACCAAGTTCGAAATGGGATAAAGGTTCATCCGAGCCTCGACATACTTAACTTTCTTAATTAAGTTCATTTCCTGGTTCTTTCGACCAACTGCCAGAATGCGTGAGAAGAGGTTCAGGTGGCTCGAAAAAATACGAGAGTTTGCATCCCACCAATCGGCCTTAGAAGAGAATGTTTCCAAATTTTTCTTCCAATCCTCCCAGAATCTTTCCATCCAATCAGTCACTCCGGGGTCTTTGAGAATAACTGTATTTACTCTAAAGTACCCCGGCCCTCTCTCCAATTTCAAGGAATTGAAACTCGCTTTAACAGGTTTATGGTCTGACAGAGTCTGTGGATACTCTACAATATCAATAGTGGCGTGCCAGGCCGCAGGAGAAAGGAGGGAAAAATCCAATCTCCTGCAAATAGTACCTACTCCTTCGCGAATATTTGAAAACCAGGTATATCACGGCTCTTCGGAATGGAGTAAGCTATGTGGCTCTGTTAAATCCATTTCTTTCATTAAATCGAGCAGAGATTTCACGTCCTGATTGCCCCGAATCGACTCATTCCTATCTAGCGTAGTATTCCAATCCCCGGCAAGGACTAGGTTTTCACATTCAGGAATGAATAAGGGGAGATCCTCGAAGAAGATTCTTCGTTCCCGTGCATCAGGTGGAGCATAAATATTGGCAATTACCCACTCCTGACCTTCTATCCATAGCTTAATCCAAGACCATCTACCCCAGAGATCAGCAAAAAAGTCAACAATTTCAGCATGGAGACTCCGATGGACTAAGATGGCTACACCCCCTCTAGAGCCCCTGGCTGGAGACCAAATATGTGGGTCATCCCACCATGCACCCAAGGCCTCAATCTTAGCTTCCGACAGTTTGCATTATTGCAAGCAAATAATGTCAACCTTTTTTTCATGAATCTAGCTTTTGAGCCGCCCTTTCTTGTTCCTACCCGAAGTATCCCCCAACCCGCGGATATTCCATGAGACGATATTAAGTATGCCCATTCATGGCAGAGAATCCAGCCGATTGGATCAGGGAAGAAGAGGGTGCAGACTCCACTGTTGCCTGAGACCAGGCAATCAACCGGGCCTGCTTAAGAAATTGAGAGTTCAATTTCTTCTCTTTCCCCAGCTTGGCGTTGAGCTCATACAGAAATTCAGGAGACAAGGCGGGGGCTACCTTAATCCTACGAAGATCCGATTTGCTGCCTTCTGCAAACCAGGCAAGTGGGAGCAATCGAAGCCCTTCAGCTTCGAGTAGTTCCAGCTGTCCTGGTTGGAAGCGAGCATAAAAAAGGGGCGCATAGTATTTTACCCTTTTACCTGTCGAATCCACCAAAAATCGGGGCATGGAAATTTCAGCGATAATACGCATAGAAAACTTGTTGTGGAACAGATTTCTGGCCAATGATTCAGAGGCTATCGGCATCGGGGATTCCGGACAACTCATACTGAATAAAAGGGGGTTGCCATCAGACCCTAACCAAGAGACGACCCAAATTGAATCTCGTACAAAGGAGCAGACAATCGGTAGGAGTTTTGTCTCCATGACCGATTGACCTTTAGCTAGAGCATGCAAACGGACGCGAGTAGATTTGCGCTCACCTGTAGCGGAAGAGGGAGTACCAGAGTTGAAGGATCCTTCGTTGGAGCTACCTGAAGCTTCTGCGTGGATTTCGTCAACGCGGATCTCAACTCCTCCTCCTTCTGAAACCCGCCTTTGTTTCCCCGGGGATTCCCCACGTGCTCGGCTTCCTCCGAAAGGCAGCCCCTGACCCCCGGACTGATGGGGAGGGGGTTGAGTAGGAACCCCCATGTAACCTGGATATTGACCGGGCGGTAGGCCAGACCACCCTTGGTTCCAGGGGGTGAAAGCATGGAGGTTTGAGAATGACGGACTTGCACCCAGGGGAGAAGCCCCCTGTTGACAAGTCGGTTGTTGCATGACAAACGGATGGGGGGGTAACCCCTGTAGAAACGACGCCCATCCACCCGCCATCATAGCCGAATTAAGCATGCCGGCTTGAGCAGGTTGAAGATTGCCGACCACTTGTTGGGTAGGCGTGCCTCTCGGAGAGAACGTAGGGTTGTTACGTACATTAGCACCCGCCGGAGTACTTGAGTTCGCCGGAGCCGCAGACGAAGCAGCCCCGCCTTGCTGTTGTTGTTGCACGCCTCCTCCAGGTGGAGGAAGAGGACCCTGATATGACGGACTAGCGCCTCTAGCCCGGCCATTCGATGCTGAGCTGAGCGGTTGATTACCAAACTGTCCACCCCGAGTTCGTCGACTCGGTCTTCTACAAGTATCCTCTGTGTGAAAGAAGGTGCGGCACCTTCTACACCACTCTGATTCGGCGTCAGCCATTCTGACCTCCAACATATCACCTTGATGTGTTTGGATCCAAATTTTGTCCTTCATGTGCTCTCTCCTGGATGGCTCAATATCAAAACGTAAGTTCACCAACTTTGGATCCGTCTCATCAGCTTCAGGGAGATGGCGCTTCAAGATCTTGCCGATAGCCCGCTCCACATGAACGTGAATAAACACCATCTCATCAAGTGGAACTCCCACTGCAACCACCCAAAATGTATCTTGATCAACCGTCCCTCTCCAGTCTCTAACCTCCGCTCGAGTCATCCATGGCTTGAAGTCTGTACGATAAATAACCCCCGCCAACTCCACGAAGTCGGTTCTCTTAGCAAGCATCCAATTGGTGACCTCTTGAGATCTTGGAATGTACGAAACCACATTAGGGCTCTCCACCTTTATCCTTCCCCGCTTGAAATCTTGACCGAAGAGTTCATCACTAATCCAGCCATCTTCATATGCTCGAATAGCATCCTCCTTCACCCTCCTCGGTAAGAATCTAGCCCCCTCACGGAAAATAATGGTGACTGTCCTTCCCTTAAGCCATTTCACCTTCACTTCATCCACCGAAATGTTTAAGGTAAATTTCACTTCTCTTCCATGAACCTCCATGACACCAGGGTCAATGTCCGTCGGGACAATACCCTCCTCATAGCAGGCTCTAACCATTTCCAAAATTCGTTCCTCTTCCAGACGGTAGTCGCCAGGAACTTGGCTCCTTGCATCCGGTTCGGTACCCCCCTGAGGGGGGGGATCAGCTTCCATCTTGGTTAGCAGTCAAGCTTACACTTATGAGAGACGCCTTTCCCTACTGCGGAGGGAGGAGAAAACCAGCGTTACCAGAAAAACGCAAAGAATTGGGCGATAACAGCTGTGAGGTAGGGGCGAGGCGAAGAAATCTAGTTGCTGACGTGATCATCTATGGCCACCGCCATAGTCCCATGACAAGGCACGGGTATTGGGGCGTCACCTACGGCAGTCCTTCCACGACGGAAATCGCGCCGTCAACTAGGCCTGCCGAAGCAAGCGACGTTACCGCCGGTGGTAACGACGGTCCGGCCTCGCCTTGAATTTTCAATTTGGTAAAGAATTTCGATGTAACTATTGAGTTGTTGTTCCTACTCTTCCTTTATTTATTTTTTTCTCTTTTTTCTTACGTTACCTGATCGGACATCCGGGACCCCCGTGACCGTCAGGGACTGTCCGATCGGACAACCGGTCGGCCGTCCGCCGGGGGCCTTACGTCCGATCAAAAAAAAATTTAGGGGGGTCTAGGACATGGACTTGGGTGGAGAACCCGGGGCGCCGGCGGGAAGAATTGTTGGAGGCTGGTAGGGCCTCCAAAAGCGAAAAAAATGGGCCTAATCTGGACCGTCAGATCTGCGAGATCGACGTCCCAGATTGGGCTATTTTCGAATTCGAAATTGGGGTCCCTGGCGTTCTGCCCCACACGTCTTGCCCCGCGCGCTGTCGCCGGAGTTCCGTGTTGCCAATGCCGAACTCCGCGTCGACGAGCGCGACCCCACGCGCCATCGCCCGCCCACGCCAGGTGAGCCACCTTCGTCCACCTCCTCCCCCTCCTTCTCCTCCTCCCGCTTCTCCTATCTTCGTCCTTCCGCTTCTCCACTCCTCGTCCTCCTCCTTTTCGTCTTCCTCCTCCTCCTCCTCCTCCTCCTCCACCCCCTCCTCCTTCTCCTCCTCCCCCTCCTCTTCTTCTTCTTCCTCCTCCTCCGTTTCCGTGGCCACCTCCTCCTCCACCTCCTCCTCCTCCTCCATCGTCGGGCCCTCCTCTTCTTCCTCCTCCTCTTCGTCCTCCTCCTCATTGTCCTCCTCGTCGTCCTCTTCCTCGTCCTCCTCCTCCTCGTCGTCGTCCTCCTTGTCCTCCTCCACCTTCTCCTCTTCTTCCTCCACCTCCTCTTCTTCCTCCTCCTCTTCCTACTCCTCGTCGTCGTCCTCCTCCTCCTCTACTTCTTCCTCCTCCTCCTCCTCTTCTTCTTCTTCATCCTCTAAGTTCTCTCCCTCCTCCTCCTCCATCGCCGTGTCCTCCTTTTCCTCCATCGCCGTGGCCTCCTCCTCCTGCGCGTTTTCTTCCTCCTCCTCCTCCTCCTCCTCCTCCTCC